GTTTAGGGGTTTAGGGTTTAAGGTGGCTAGTAAAGCCTCAACAACATAGAGAACCCTGAGGATCGACCCAGGCCCTAAATACTAAACCCTAAACCTTCTGGGTTAAAGCTCCCCCACACGTTTTGTTTGAGACCGAAGCCCTAAACCCTAAACCCCACTGGACAGAAAACCATTACAGTAACCCTGAAAGAAGCGCTTCTAGCAACCCTTACAGTAACCCTCATAGCACCCTTGGAGGAAATTCTGGGTTACATAGGAAGGCCCCTTTTTGGAAGCTTCGGGGCTTTGGGTTTGGGGTTTTCAAGCTTAGGGTTCAGAGAAACCCTAAGGTGCAGTGTTCAGGGTTTCCTATCCTAAATCCCGAAACCTACCGCCTGAAGAGCAGCTTTGTAGGGAATCATAGCAAGGAAGCCAAAAAGGTAAAGCTTATCAGGGGGGTCTTCGAGATGTTGACTTCGAATTGTGTTTCGAGTGTCAGGTTGCATTTGCTCTTCTCGGTGCCAGACTCAGGGCCTAGGGCGGTGCGCAGTACCCTGAACCCTAAAGCCCATGTCAGGTTTAGGGTACAGTGGTAGATTTGGTTTATCATTTCGATAGTCCGCACTGAGATCTGCGTATATGCGGTGTGGTTGAGGGCATCCATCTTGTAGGTTCAAGGTTGGGGATGAGATAGAGATGAAGTCGGTTCGGAGCAGTGTGATCAGGTTTTTCCGGTCCTAAACCCATGTATGCGGCAACCGGTAAACCCATGTATGCGGTAACCGGCAAGGTGCCACGCTTGTAGTTTGTGTAATCAGATGTTCTTTTATGAGCTTCTTGCGCTTGCAGGCAGCCTTGTATGTTGAAGGACGGTGGCAGTTTCGTTCTCCGATTTGTTCGCACCTTGCCACAGCTACGCACGCCTGCTCTGGTTGCTTGTGAACTAGAAATCCTAGAACATCCAAAGTGGACAGAGGCCAGATATACAAATAAATGTGTATGTATAGATAGATGTATACATACACGCACATACACACACTTCATCTCTACACTGTCTTGGCCTTGACTCGGCTTCGAGGACATTCTGTGTCGTGATGCTGGTTACTACCACATCGCATCTTGCCTTGAAGAGAAAGTTGGGTTTTGTTGTGTGGCTCTTCCCTCAAAATATCAAATAAGACTGGTAGTGATGCATGGTAACCTGGTATGGGAGCTTCCGAAAGCCAGGTTCCTTCCTGTGAGGTGCAATGTTCGCAGGTGCTACACTTCGGATTGCAAGCGCCAGTGCTGAAAACATCGTTTAAGTATATCATGATTCCCACATCATGAAGAAGTGCACACCAGGCTTACATTTGGGATGCCCGAACAGTGCCCATTCTATTAAGAATTTCCCGATGCTCGTGATTTCGTAGTTGGACTTGTTTCTTGGTTGTTTTCGGCCACAACCTAAAGACCTTGCAAACATTCTGGAGCTTTGCAACCCTGGAACTCCGAGCTCCGACCATTCACAGCAGTACACACTTACAAGTCATCGCGGGATTGATAGTCTATACATCGCCCCTACATTACGCTCATCAGTCTGTAAGGCTAGCCCTATTCCCCAAAAACCCGGCCCTGTAAACATGTTTGTGGTGCAGAAACTCGGGGTCCCATAGTCTTCACCTGCAACTCAAGCCCGCAACTCCTTTTTGTCAGGCTGCAGCTGGGGGCATTGGACGCAAGCGGCTTGTTTGAATCTGGTTCCCTTTCCGTGAGATGTACACCCGAAATCCAGACAGGATGTCGGGCCGCTGAGGGAGCAAAAAACTGTAGTTGCACGTGAGACAGGTTTTATCTCAGGTTTTTCGTTGAAAGATTCTGTCTGCTGGGATTGACCCTCCAGGCAAATACATGCAGCTCAAAAGCCTGAACCGAATCATGCTGTAGATATGGACCTAACGTAAACCCCCAAATTTGCCAAGAGACTGATCGACATTCAACTTTCCTTTGTAGTTTGTGGGACTTGCTTGCCGGCACAGGCCATCAACATGTAAGTCGAGAAAAATGCCATGCAACAACCAAGATTGTTTAACTATGAAGAACAACAACGACAAGACAATACCGATAACAGTAACAATACTATGTACGATTACATGTGCGTAAGGGAACCCCGGCGTCAAAACGAAGTGAGTTGTCCGATCTGCCGATGTGACTTGTTTCCAAGCTCGTCCGGTGTTGATGGTTTTGTGGTTGTTTGATTGTCATGTATCACTGTTCATTACAACAATGCCAAACCCCAAACCAACGAACCCGAAACCCTTGTTTGATATATGTCATGCCTTAGTCCCTAAACTCCCAATGAACCCTGATCACCTCTCTTCACCTCTCTGGCAACACAAGACACCAATAGGGGCATGTATATTCACTGATTATATTTTGTCGGGCTCCCCTTGTTGTAATGACCGTGTATCATACCCCGAAACACTGCTCTAATTATTAATTCCCATCTTAGTCCGTAGCCACGCCCATTCTATCCATTCTATGCAAGGCGTATCCCTTTGGGGGAAAAGTCATTTGGATGCCGAGGCAAATGAACATTGGACCCCCAAACCTTAAATATCCTCGATCCTACAGACCCTAGCCGCTGAACCTTAAACTTGAACCCCAAACCTGTGGGGTCTGGATTGCTAGAGTGCAGAGATGTAGGGCCGGGCTAGCGGGAAAGCCTCGTGGACTCCTGATTTGTAGGGTTTAGGATTGAGCTTTTAGGCCATGCTCCACGCAGCAGAGAGGTCGCAAAGCCTCCAGGCCTCAAAGCACTGCAGCCCACCCTAATCAAGACCTCCGAAACCCGCTATACAGCCCTAGACAACACTATACACCCCACGAGCTCGTGCAAACCCAACAGAAACCGTTAAAGCGGTTCAGAGACTTCTGCCCCCTAGACCCCAAACCCTAAAACCCAAACCCTAATCCTAAACCGCCTCTAACGAAACCGAAGCCGAAGCAAAGGCATGGAATCCTTCGTAGCGACCTTCTCTAAAGTTATCCTGTGCCTCGGCATTTAGAGCTCAGAGGCCCAGAGACTCAAGGGTTAGAACGTTCGGGTTTGGAGCTTCAGGTATCAGACCCTAACCTCCCAGGTACCTACTATATAGGGTACTAGAGCCCCTAGGGCCCTATATAGTAGGTACCTGGGCGGTTAGGGAGATGGTACCAGGTTCGGAAAGTGCAGTTCATCTAATGCTCTGAAGCTTAGGCTTTGAGCCATCTACAATTAATATAGCTAGACACCAAGTGACCCAAAGCAAAAGCATGGCTCCAGGGCCAAAAACATGACCCCAAAAACCCTAAACTCTACACCGCAGAGTCTCAACACTAACCTCCAGAGAGGCATTACGAGGCTGAGGGTTTTGGTAGATTGGGCGAGGGGTTCAAGAGACTGGGTTCTGGGTTTTTGAAGCTTCTGCCTGCATGTCGAAGATTGTTCCCGGTTCTGGCAGTAGTGTTGCTGCTTTCACTGTCGGTGGATGTTGCGAATGTTTGTGGTGCTACTGTCACACGTCATTGTTATCATGCTTTCTTCGTCAACATCGTTTTATAGGCTGTTTGCCCGATTCCCGAAACGCAAGGGCTTCATTAAGCATAATGCTGGTTGTGCTACTGTCATTACTGGTTATGGCTGTTCCCGTTCTCAGCAGTTGCTGTGACTCTTTCTGTTATTATTCATTCTAGGCGTGGCTCTGCTAGCTGCTCTTTTGCAGCTAGTACTGCTTCGTATCAGTGCCATTATCTCACGATTCTGTTTGTTACTACCACCAGCATCACGTTTACCCTCACTGGCATTGGTCCTGATGGGGATTTCAGGAGTTCCTCAACGACCCTGAGTTTGTCAATTTCCACTTTCACTGTTGCCAGCGTTCCATGCCGAGCTCACTACAACAGAGAAGTACCGCTGTTTGGCTTCATGCTCATTTGAGGAACCTCCTCTAGGTAGAGCCTTTAACCGTAGATCAACCCTAAACTTTAGACCGCAAACACAAGGGACCTACTGTAGGGGCCTTAATAATTAGAATAGGGTTTTGGGGTCTATGATACTAGAATTTATACTAAGGACCGCCTCCAAACCCTGTTCTAATTATTAAGGCCTGTATAATTAGCTCTATCATCTTTTGTGCTCAGGAGCCTGCTCGGCTGCGCCATGCTGCTGCTCCTCAGCCCTTTCTATTCCTCAGCTATGGGTGGTGCATGCAGGGTTTCAGCAGTTTTGGGGTTTTAGGGTTTGGTGAGGGTATCATGAAGCTTGGCAGCTACGCCTGGGCCTTGCAGTTACGGTTGCGGACGTTTGCCGGTGCGATTTTCCGTATGCCTGAAGATTTCTCCACAAGCCATCCGGCGAAAACTAAAAGCCAAATCTGCACTAAACCCTTTCCGTAACTTGTGTATGTACGCACCATTCAGCACGTCCCAATAGATACACTTGTCAAGCCCTACAAAGCCAAAAGGTCGATGCAACTCCGGAGCAGATGGCTCTAGTAACTCTAGTACCCTTGTTGTGAAGATGCGAACCCGGAGCCTTGAACCTTGGTTTAGGATTTGGGGTTTAAGGCTTAGGGTCTAGGGTTTGGGGTTTAGGGTTGTAGAGCTGAGGGCCAAGCCTAGGTAGGCCTTTGGGATATTTTAGATTTTACCTTATTGGGCTTAAGCGGACCCCGTTTACTAATATTTTTCAGAGACTTTAAAGGGGAAACCAGTAAGCCCATTTCAAGACTAGGTAGGCCTCTGGGACTTTTTTGATCTTCCACTGAGAGGAGCCTTTTTAGGTGACTTATGTGGGCCAGTAAGCCCTATGCCCTAAACCCTAAAACCCTAAAACCCTAAGCCCCTAAA